TCTATCTTAAGATTTAAATCTATACAACGTTCTATTTGGTCAATAATCGTAATTTTCTCCCATAGGGTGAAAAGCGAACATTTAGTTCACGATTCAATCGGCAACAAAATTAGTTGACATCCCCTCCATGCAATGTTGTGCCGCTGTTCAGGCTACCTGTGGAAAACAAAAACACCCCAACTTTGAATGGGGGGAGGGGGGAGGGGTGTAGATTGTTTTGTTCTCCGAAGTTACCCTATTTGAGGACAACAATTGTTACTGAATTAAATAAAAAGACGCTATTTTAATCCAACGATCTGAGATTTGATCGAAAATTCCATTCTAAGGACCTATGGGAAGACTGAAATAACGACTATCTTCATTTATTAAAAAAGTGAAAATTTTAAACAATTTTCCATCTTGGTGGCTACGTCCTTAGGGCCAGCATAAAATGAAGAATTTATTTCAAAATCTACTTTGCTCTGACTTGCATACGTCACTTTCTACTCTGAAGTGACTAAATATGGAAGACTTTTAGTACACAGTTACACTATTCTGTTAAACCGGTTCATTTTTAAAGTCGGCTAGCTGTTCTTGTACAAATATTGTTATTTAATTCAAGTATTAAGAACAAACGCTGTCATCTGAGGTTACAAAACGATTTCTCGATGAGCAGCTTGAAGGTCACTGAACGAGACGTTCCCGTCAGTTCCTGGATTTATTGTTTAAGCATTGTTAAACGATGTCCAGTTCACTGCATTTTCACGTATTTCTCCTTCCAAGTGCCTACAAAAATATTCTTGCTACACTGCCCACAACAGGTTAAGTTGTTCAGCCTTTGACGCATGGAAATGTACAGTTGACTAAATGAGCCAAAAATCCCAGCTTCGTAATAGATTAAAGGCCTGTTTACATGGAGTGGGGGACCCCGGTCTAGTGGGGTTGGTTTCTTTTGTTTTCACGCTCTGAGAAACACAAAACAAAAGAAACCTACCCCAGTAAACCGGGGTCCCCCATTCTATGTAAACAGGGTCTAAGACTACTGAGGGGTGAGTTAAAGAGTGACAAACGGAGGTGGTGAACATTTGCTGGAAGCTGGACGAACAATGCCGTGGGTGCCGTGCGATGATGTTGTCTACAAGAACTCGAAGTGGGTGAAAAAGGCCATCACTTCCTTGCCTTAAAAACTAATTAGGACCAAACACTTGCAAGACGCGCGTGCTAAGCCATTTTAGCCCAAGACATGATTTCGTTGCAGGTGTCCTTGTGGGTGCCAAAGGCCTTTTCACATGCATCAACACACTGAAGTTGGACCCCTGCCTTCGTTAGAATGAGTGACATTTTCGCAGAGGAGACTTCCTGCAAGAAATGCACCTGATGTAACAGATTATCTGCAGAAGACCAATTCTGGCGTGGTCTTACAGCCGCGGAGAACTCTCTCGTACATTGGGAAAAAGAGAGTTCAGATGATTTGATGGGGGAAATTATTTAAGTTCCTTTAACACAACGATTACAGTTATTTAACAATTAATGAATTCGGCTTTCGTATCTTATGAAGAATTATGGAGATCGAGGAGGGTGTTATCCGTCGAGGCCGTAGGCCGAGGCGGATAACACCCTCCGAGATCTCCATAATTCTTCATAAGATACGAAAGCCGAATTCAATAATTGTTTTATTATTCATTCAAAATTATTCCTAGTTTAAAAACATGGCTAAAACATGCTTACCTCCATCGATCCATCGATGTCAAGTTCATCTTCCATAGTGCACCTTTAGGTTTGTCCAGCTCCGCAAATATATTCTCCACATAGCAGATGTCGTCCTTCGAGTTGTCTTCTTGCTGTTCTTGTCATGTTTTTAGCTATTTTTCCGCCTAGTTCTTACTCTTGAAACGAGTGAAATGTCTGCCATTTTTCAAGTTCACAATCGAAACAACTCAACCTCGTCCCCAGGTCTTCTCGGTTAACGGTGCCTTAACCTGCGAAAACGCTGCATTTTTGACGTCATTTCCTCGTTAAACACAAAATTCTTCCAAATTTGGTCATCAGTAACTAGTTATGGTGAATTAAACGCGTACTTTTAGCCAATCAGAATCGGGAAAATATTTTGAATGAATAATAATAGCAATTATTGGTTATCCGCATCGGCCTCCAGCGTCGGCGGATAGCACTCTCCTCGATCTACATAATTATTCAGATCATACTCAGCCTCACATAAAGAGTGGTCTTTCTTGACTTTCTTACCAAAACGTGCTAATTCTCCCGCCATTTTCTATCAAAACGACTGAACTAATGCAACCTCTTCCCCCGGGCTTCTCGGATGCCACGTCTTTTTCTGGCGATAGCCTGTAGCATTGACGCCATTTTATCGTGGAATTTTGCAAACGTCTTCCAAACTTGGTCGACGCTCGCTGGTTATCAAGAATTAGCTAGGGGATTTCGGTCAATAAGAGAGGGAGAATATTTTTAATGAATAATAATATTTAGCTGTTTTTTTGAAAACGAACCTGACAAAATTTGCAGCGATTTAAGTGAAAAGGGGCCAAAAGGTAGGTCTTTGCGCCCGACAAGCTCGAACATCACACTTGCGAAGGAAAAGGAAAAGAAAAAAGAAAGAGCGAAAGGGAAGAAAGGAGGAGAAGAGAAAAAAAAACAAGGGTTGCACTCTTAGTTTTTATAATGGCTACTTTGGCGGTAACGGCTGAAAAAATCCGGCTAGATATATATAATAATATATCTAGCACTATTGTAAAAACAAGTGTGTAACTTGTTCTAGTTCTATATCATGGGGCGCGTGGGTCGGGTTGCAAAAAACATATTGAGATTAAGGGAACTATTTCAAAACAAGAGCCCTCTTATCTTGAGAAGGTTTTATGCAACCTGCCCAGGCCATGACATATGAAAATAAGTTTTGGATTAAACTCAAACCCACATTTCCTTGACTCTAACAAAGCAGTATCCCGCTGGGTAATGGTCCATTTCCGAGTTCTAAAAAACTCTAACTTTCGAAACGAGGCTAAGTGTAAAATTTTCTTGTGAAAATGAGTTTTATTTGCACGAGAATAAAAAAAATATTTTAAGATCAATGCCTTCGCACTTAGCCTCAGAGGCTTGGAGCAACTCGGAAATGGCCTTTTCTTATACAAACGACGTAATTATAGTCACGCAAACAGCTTTGGTCTGGGTCATTTTATGTCTGTTCCCTTACCTTAACCAACTGTTTAAATTCATTGTACTATGGTTGCCGACCATGAGGTTAACCTTGCAATCATCCGCATGAACATTTACTCTCACGACGGAACCTGCGCAAAAAATGCAGGCACTCATATCAAATAACTTCTCCTACAAATGTAAAATACAATGTAATTACGCAGAAGATGAATAAATTCACCAATTGTTATTGTTCGATAAAACTTACCTTGTTCCCAGATTGTCTGCTTGTTAGGCGTTTCAAAGGGCAAGGGACAGAGAGAAATTAAGGCGCACGAAACTCGATGGACGCGTTAGAACATCCTTTCTCGCGCGCCTATCGCCGTCCGCGGGTGTTACACCTTCCATGGACCATCAAGTTTGAGGGGATGGGCCATTGGAAAAGTAAAGGGAGAGGACTGAAATAAATCCATACACGAAAAAATACACGTGAAAAAAAATTCATACAGCCTGAACAGGCAGAAAAAGATACATACAAGCTAAGAAGAAGAAACAACATGCACACCAGGTAAACCAAAAAAAATAAATAAAATTACTCGCAGGGTTGAATTGACCTCCCCACACCTCTCCCTTCTGTTTTCTAATGGTCCTTTCCTAAGAAGAAATCTATGACTTACCATCGACGGATTCGTCTACATTAGTGCCATCTGATTGGACGTCAGTCTCTCCTCTCTCCAACTTAAGAAGGTAAGTCTTCACATGATGATGTCCACGTCTCTCTGCTACTTGCAGCGGTGTTTCGTTGAGCTTTGTCAAAATGAAAATACATTTCACCAAAGATCCGGGAAATTTGGCACTCGATTTTCAATAAGAACAATTTGCGTTGTTGTTGTGTCATTAGGATACATCGCACATTATCCTGAATAAACATAGTTCATATTGACTTTTCGTGTCATTGGAGTAATCTGCTGATCAGTAACAAGATTTGTACTAGGCAAACAACAAGGTTGAAGATTCCAAAGTTGTACTTCTAATCAGCGACCTCGTACTTGCACCCAAATCTGAATGCCACTATAATTGTTTTCAGCCATAGTCGCAGTGTCGTCCTAAGTGTTTGGTTTAAAGAGGGAGTTAAAGATACCGAAACAGCGAGGGCGGGTGAAAACGTCACTTAAAAAGTGTCTTCACGTTCTTTGAGACTTAAGCGCGATTATCCCAACTTACTCAGTTGAACTCTCCTGGATCAAATGGGAGGAGATTTATCCACTGGATAGAGGAAGAGAAATTTGTTTGTTCATGTTCTCCATAAAGCGCAAAATAAGACAATTTCACGTCATAGTCGTGCAGAACGGCAACGAAATGTATCAAAAGGAGTGCTCCACGTGAAAAGACGTTGTTTCGCTCATCTAAACTTGTCCGAAGCTAGTGGATTTTGCTGCTTTGGCTAGGGAATTTAGTTCTTTGTTTGCCCGAAGGGCAAGTGAAGTTTTTTGGGAATTCAACAGAAATTCTTCCCACGCGTTTTCCAAAATTGTATACCTTGCGCAACGGTGTTACACTGAACCAAAGCGATATTAGTAGCAATGTTACTTTGTAGGAAGTGTAAGCTAATTGCGGGCGACCAGAGGAGCCCTCAATCCAAATCTCAAGTTTGCTATTACGCATGAGTGGCAGGTATGTAGACGGCATTCGTATAGCCTTCACTAAGAATGAATGGCAATCGCATGCATAAAACGCAATCTGATCAAGGGCGTTTGGACCTTCTATCACGTAAAACTTGCTCTATCTCGCCCACATATATACTCCCTAACCTTTGATCATAATTAGCTTGTAAATACTTGAAGGCTGGTCTAGGCAACACAATAAAACAATCACAAGCAAACACTTACGTTGCTTTGTTTGCTGTAGTCAGCGGGGCTGTAAGGATTTCTAACCAATGCCTTGACAGCCCCGAGATTGCCTTTCTCCGCAGCTAAATGTAGTGGTGTGTAGCCAAACTGCAAAAAACAAATACCATTTTAGTTTATTTAACACATATCATACCACAGACAAAAAAACAAGGCTTAAGGTAGAATAAAACATACATAGTCAACTAAATTTGCGTCAGCTCCATTCTTTAACAGCATGTCCAAAAGATCATCATCTCCACCAATTTCATATACTACGAAGTGAAGAGGGGTCCTTTGATTTATCTAGGGAGATAAAATACTATTAGACAGATTACCTAAAACATAAGCAAAATGTGCCTGAAAGATGGAAAAACTTCCACGAGAAAAAAAAGTTCGGCAAATGTTCCGTCGGAACATTCCGCTTGCGCCATCTAAAATTTTTAGGAAATTTATAAATTAGGAAAGTACATCTGAGGAAAATTGGTAAAACGTGCCGATAAGTAAGCCAATAGTCAATCCAAGATGGACGTAAAAATTTGAGAGAGCTGAACATGAAGGCAGGTACCAGCAGACAGCCTAGAGATAGCCCTAACAGAGGGTGGGTGACTGGTGGGGGGTGGGGATAGAAGGCTTTTAAGGTGATTCCCTAGTTTTGCACTGCGCATCTCTTACTGCGCATAACAAGATGGCTGCCGTAAAAAAGAGCATGTGAAGTAATATTATTAAAATGAAGTTGACTGAAGAGAAACGCTATTGGAATTTTTGCTTGCTGTTGTTTGTTGCCGCGGTGAGACTCAATGTGTTGGGAATGTGCATAACGTAAGCAGTACGCGTGTTGCTGAGTTCGACCTCCTCTCGGAGAACCTCTATAGTGGATGTTTAACTTGTGCTTACTCACTTTGATTTTCATTTAAACACTTTCTTTATCACATTCTGTCCTAAATGTGATATCTCGATGTAAAACGAATGTTTTAATTCTTTCTTCCTCCTTTCACATACATTCTATTTAGAAACTTGCCCCAGTCCTCTCTCAAAAATCGGAGAAAATGCGTTTGGTGCGCACTTTCTGCAGCCTTACCGCAAAAACGAGTACGGTGACCCCCATTTTTTATTTCATGATTTTAATAAGGACAGTGCTTCCTTTCGATGAGAAAAAAATTGGCACAAATCTATGTTCAGTTTTTTGGCAATTTTACTAAATTGTACGGATTGAGCCATCACGGGTCGAAAAGCGCGCGTCCAATTTAATTCTACATTGGAGCGTAAAGTAAAAACAAGGGCATTAAAAGGCATTTTTCTGGTACGTAAGTGGATAAACAATACATTAAAGTCAAATTCTGTGTGATGTCACATGCATCATCGAAAAAATCTCTCCTTTTTGTCTAGGTTTTCGCTGCCCGCGGTTTTTGTAAAAGGGTCCTAAATAGCCGTGTTTGTCAGCATTGTGACGTCAAAACGAGCACGGTGACCCCCACTTTTTATTACTTTTTTAACATCTTCTTGACTTGTTACATCAGTGTACCAAGTTTTAGCTAAAATCTATGTTAGGTTCTTTTACTATGGAATCACCTTAACACATCTATCGCAAAGTAAAGGAAACTGGATGACTGGGTGTGACTATTTCTTCAGAGTTTCTAACAGGCATTATCAGGGATGTCACTAAGAGCCTGCAGCCGCAAATGGAACCTCAGCGGACCAGTCAATATCACCAAGGTTAAATTCTCCTGATGCTATTATGTTAGGGTGATGATTAGAGGATTCGAAGACACAATTAAAGGAATCTGAAAATTGTTCCAAAACATCTTGGGGAGAATTTGGTGGTCTGTAACAAGATGCTAGGTGGGGAGTTTTACAGTTACCGATCTTAACTGATGACCAGAGGATTTCGCAATCTTTTCTATAGTTAGGCTTTTCCTCGCAAATGATTTCAGACTAAATCGACTGGAACACACCTCCCACATTAGGATTTCGGTCCTTTCTGGACACGGAATAGGTGGGCGGAAAGACTGAATAGGTCGGCACTCAGTCAAGCTTTGATTCACAGCCGAGGATGATATCAGGTTTGTGAAAGTCAAGAAGAACTTGAAATTCGGAGAAACGAGATGGACCCTTGAGGCCGTTGCAATTGATGATCATCCCCTTTAAGCCAGAAGATACCTTGGTATCTTGGGAAGCTAGGAGCTGACAGGTAGACAGGTTGCTGTTTGGTGATGGTGTTGGTTGGACATGGACGGTGTTAATGTTATCCGAATGATTCATTCAGAATACTCGTGTCAGCATCTGAAGAAGGATCCAAACCGGGGCTGGGATTTCTAATGTCAGAAAAAGGCAGATTCTTTGAAGTTGTAATTACACACACAGGGCAGCTCCATGGGAAGCTGACAGTCAAGGAGACAAGTTTGGTGTATTCAGCAGATGTTACTTTACCGACATTTGATGTGACACCAGCAGAGACAAACATCGCATTGAATCTCTCGATGGTCAGCAGACTGAACACAAGTTTTTATTACAGTTAGGAGCTGGACCAGGATTGGCAGAAATGTCGCCTCAAGAAAGAAGCCTTATCAGCCGGAACCCAGCAACTGAGTTGGGATAGTAGGCCAAACTTGAGGCTAAAAACGTCGTGCGACGGTGTGCAAGAAACCCAAGAAGGTGGCAGAAGTTGACTCGAATTCTGAGAAGAGTGACCACACTACCGCGAAAACCGTGGATAACGGTTTAAAACGTAGATTACTTCAATCCTTTTTCCTTAAGATGGTGCAGTGAATCGTTTGGATGCGGAGAGCAGACATAAGAAAGCAGAAATACAATGTAAAGAACGCAGCTCAGGAAAACACAGCGAAAACACATCCAGTCGCCATGACACCTTAATCTTACCAATGTCAAATTGAATGCAAACTTAACGATGTCAAATTGAAAGGAAAACAAACAATAGGGTTTCCCCGAAAACCGAAAAGATAAATGCCTCTTAAGTAAACAGACTAAACAAAACCACACGGATTGATTCTAATTACATTAACTACCTCATACCCGAGTTAGGAAAAAGAAATTGAAATTATAAACCAAGGATTCTGTAGGCAACTAACTCACTGACTATGCAGACGACATATAAAAGGCTAAGCCGATTCGAGCACTGCACTACACTGCAGCGCAGTCGATCAGACTGTACGAAATGTTGAACTGCCAAATACAATAGGTCTAACCTGTATTTTCTTCATTTAAGAAAGTATAACGCTTAAGATTTTTCTTCGAAATTATTGACACTTTCGACGCGATACAGCTCAATCGCGCATAAAATCAATGGAAAATTATTTAAAGTTTACCACCGTCATGAATGAAGAACGAAAGAGCAATGATGCGACGCGATGGAACGATGGAGTTGGACTGTCTGTGTGCTGGATAAGATTTCCTTGCACTCTCGTGTTTGTTTTTACGTAGGTAAGAGTGAGGCGTAATGCCGCGGCAAATAATAACTACAGAAAACTTATTTATAAAGTTTCTCACCTTACTATTGGGTTCCCTGAAATTTACTGGCGCGCCCTTTTTTAGTAGTGTTTTAATTATTGATATACGGTCGACGCCGCGATCAATTTTTTTGTTTTTTAACGCGTCCCAAAGCCTTCTCCCCTTGTCTTGTACATCTCCATCATCATCGCCATCATTTCTAGTAGCCATAGTTTTTCCAATTCCAGGACGACCAACATCAAGTGTCTTCTGTTTTTCAGCACCAAAAATATCTCCTGGTAGTGTTTGTTGCGAGTTTTCTCTGGTTTTGGGATACTCTTCTAGTCTTTCACCCTCATCTGAATGAAATAAAGGATCCCTATCAGTTCGTTCGGCTTTCCTTGGGACTTGTTCGTCTGTTGGCTTATTCGAACTCAGATAACATTTATGAAATTCCTGGTCCTCCGTAAAGGCTCTGAAGCTTACTTTTCTCGCACAACATAACAACATATACAGGGACTCGATAAACACAAGAAGTGCAAACGTTCCAGTTACAACGATCACGGCATTAGCCCAGACGGTCTTCTTAGCTCCTCGTTGATTATGACATTCGTATGACGTTTGCGTTTCGGTTTCGTTACGAGACGCACTGGCCGTAATATCTGAAAACCTCCCGTCTCTGGTTAAGTTACAGTTAAAGTTCGAGGGAAAGTTGAGAGGGTAAAGTAATTTGGTCTGCAGAACGAGAAAAAATATTCCAAGAAGAAATCTGGCGAAAAGTTGCGAACAATACGCTTTGAAAAGCTTTTTCCGGGAACTTTGCGCTAAATCCGCGTTTCTAGGGTTGTTTTCAAGTTCCTCAACTTTCGACTTCACCGCTTGTGAGTATATTCCACAAACACTTGCAGTCACAAGGAAGTTAATAATCACGAATCCATAAACAGGGAATTTGTTGTATTGTTTATCGTACTCTTCGTAACACTTTCCACGAATGAGTTCCTTGTCGTCATTTGAGCCACAACGGAAGTCTGTCGGTTCGCTGTTTTCAATGTCGAGAAAGATTGGAGATAGGATAATTCCGAGCAAAATCCAAAATACATTTGCCACATAACTGAACCAGTGGAGTGTTTTAGGAGCAAGCAAATCTTTGAGACCCTCCATGTTGTATGCCTCTACATTTCTGGCTTATGAGCTCTAAATGCTTGCATTTAGCCAAAAGCGGGGGGCGGAGGGGGGAAGAGACGAGGTCTGGGACCCAGAAACTACGATCTCACAATTTGCGAAGCGGTCACCCTGCGTTGTGGTCAGCGGATAGTTGCAGTATTTTTCCCGCAGTAAATCAATCTCGTACCCAGAGTCTTCAGGCATTTTGATCAGCGGGGCAACGCCGGGAAGACTCTGGGGACATCAAATCGGAAAGCACCAGATAACATCGACCTAAACCAGATGAGTAAAACCTGTGATAGACTCAGCTCTATTGCACTGAACGACGCGGCTTAAGGTGGCTCGATATAGTTTTTCAAGGTCAATACCTCCCAAGTTTGAGCGTGAACTACGTCGCCATAAGTAAGTAAAATAACGGCTACAATTCGCTAATATTTTGACAGAAATTTTGTCTTTAAAAGTGAGAGTCTATGATTATTCAGGGGTATTGTCTCAAGGTTTCATTTTCACGTGAACAGCAGTAACTAACAATGCATTTGACATATGCAAAAATGCTAGCTATACGAAAATATGAATTTTGGAGACAATACCCATGAATAATGAGAGGCTATCACTTGTAAACACAGAACTCTTGACAAAATATTAGCGAATTCAAGCCCTTATTTTACTGCCTTACAATATATCAATAATCTTGAAACTAAGAGGTCATATAATTAGACGGTTAGTCTCAAGATTTTTAAATTTTCTAAAAAATTTATCGTCCGGTTTAAAAATTATTCGCTGATTTGTTAAAGTAGACCGAAATGTTTACATTACTGCTAAAAAGAGTGCCTTGATACATAGTAATCAAATCCTTGTTTCTAGCAATCGGCTAGAGGTATCTCCATGATCGATCGATCTTTCACACACATTTTTAAAAAGATTGAAACTACTATGAGGTGAAATTGCATGTCGAAAGCGCTTCGTTTAGTACAGATAACAGTCGAACATCACGATTGTCCATTTTTTACCGTATTTCTAACCATAAAAACTTCTTTCCAAAATATCTCGATAACGCTCTTATAGATTTCGCTTAAACTTCACGAACATCGAGGCGGCTATTGTAGGAAAAAGCTCCAGTAAACGATTTTGGAAGAACAGTTCCCAGTGCCGAGAAATACTGCTGCAAGTAAAATAGGTAATGGCGTCATTTCGTTTGTATGATAACTCCGATGTCATTGCAACCCTGATCATAACAGATTTTCGTCTTTATCTAATACAACTGTGGTGTCAATTTTTCCAAATCTTTGCTTATGGCGACGTAGTTTACGCTCAAACGTGGGAGCTATGCACTCTAAAAAACTGTATCGAGCCACCTTAAGGTCTTTCCGAGGAATGCTGGTTTCGGTCGATGTTATTTAGTGTCGACAAGTCACGAAATGCTATTTAACATCGACCGAACCCTAACGGGAACTCGGATGCGGCTCCGAAAAAACCTAAATACATTAAATATATTCCGCGAGAGTGCGAATCCCATCCCAGTTTTATTGCTGTCATTAGAGTTTCAAACAGTAGTTTTCCAGCTTTTTGACTTTCACCGAAGAAGGTTTAAGAAGTTCACAATCAAAAAAAGTTCTGCTTCCACAATCACGTGCCAACATTCAACTTGACAAGGTAACCTGGTTTAAACTAGTTTAACCAGGTTAATTTTTATCAGCGGCCGGACTCAATTTGGACTTTCAATTCATTCAATTTTGGGGCGGTTTTATGTTTTTGTCTTCGCTCGCTTCGGTCGCTCATAACGCTCGCCTAAGAGTGACTGACAAAAATTGACCCCGTATTACTGATAAAAAGAGGTCGAATTCTTAAATGTCGTGACTCAATAATGTTAAGAAAGAAATCTGAACTTGGAGCGAAAGAAGTAATTTCGAAACTGTTGTGCTTGCGTGCATGGTAAAGCCAAAATTTGGACCATTCTTCTCCCGCGTAGACGGTGATGATCGACTGATTGATAAGGTTAACCTGAGTTAAACTTCCGGGGAGGGGGGAGGGGGTACTCCCTATGATGGCCTATACGGGGAGCCTCCGCCTGAAAGGGGTACCTTTTTATGATTCAGGTATATGAAAGGGTAGGGATTTTACTTGTTGAAGTATATACAAGGGTAGGAAAATCTATCACTTGGGTCTGCGAAAGGGCCAAACCGGGCTAACAGATACATTTTATGGCTTTATAAAGTCGAGGAAACGTTTTATGTTTGTGATTGATTCCTATTTAAACGACAGTGCATTTACAGTAGTTAAAAGGGTTATAAAGTTCTAAACAAGGTATGTGAAAGGGGTACCATTCGTCAATAGAAGGTATACGAAAGGGGTACCTTTTCCGTGAAAAATGGTATATAAAAGGGTAAGGGGTTGGATCTCGGGGCGAAGCCTCCCCGTACAAAACTTTGTTGAGTAACCCCCAGGGTTAAACTACCTCGCGAGGTGGAGAAAAAAACTAAAGATAAGATAAAAGGAATAAAAATCTATCAAACTTACCTGTGAAATGAAAGTTCTGGAGATTTTCCACACTCTCCCGATAACAAGGTGTATTCGTTGGGGAGAGTTGTCGAAGAAGTTCTCTTCCAGTCGCTGTTTGATTATGCCATCACACAATAAACGTAACACACTGTTTCTTAAAGTCAGATTTGCTGAATTTCACGGAAAGCGTTTTCTGGTACTCGAAACACCAGCAGGAAAAATAGAGATTGGCAATTTACGATATTTATGGATAAAGTAGCAATCGACCCAGCGTGCGACTGACTTACTTGTTTATATATAACGGTCTATGAGCGAACTAAGATTGGTTAACTTGGTCACTGATCAACGTCAATAAGCAGTCACTGACGTTTCTAATCTACTGTGTAAACAGTGTAAAGTAAACTCCGCCATTATAAATGCAGAAGGCTTGTTTGTTTAGCAAAATTATCCGAAATGAAATCTGTAACTTATCGAGACATTCTCAAGATATTCAGGGAAATTACCTTTTCCACAATCAGAATTAAATAAATTACTGAAAAAGAAGATTAATTTCTATGTGCCTTCATTACAATCAAAAGAGGAGCAAAATCACAATCGGTAGCTTGAGAATTGTCATTCTGGTCAAGTTTAAACTTGAATTTTGTTTTTGGAACAAATGACTTTGCCTTAACTACACACTTTGCATAAGTCATCATAAAATGAATTAAAAACAAAAAGATAAAATTAAAATTAAACACAAAACTTTTTTTATCCTCAGATAAAAATAAATAAATAAAACGTTATTTAGCCTCTTCAGTGTTTATTAACTCAAAACAGGAGCCGAGCAAATTTCTGAAACCAGAAAATCGAGAACAAAAGGAAACTATAAACATTTAAAAGACTATTTTGTTATCAAATAACTCATATTACGATTTTTCTCTCAGGGCAAACTGCTAATAGACAAATTTAACAAAGAAAACGCAGCTTGTCGTGATAGCGCGCAGAAAAAGACTGAACCCGACTTCCGGTGTTTGATTTGCCTTTCTACCCTTGGTAAGTCAAGTCGCTTTTACGATGTGCGCGCGTCTTCTTCACCGTCGTGGCGTTCTCTTTGCCAAATCTGTTTAAAAGCAATGCAACAAAAAAGTACAAACAGACACTGACTAAAACCTTTTTCTACTTGTATGCTGGGCAAGGTATCTTTTTACATGCAAAAAGTACATTATTGAACAGACGATATCCGAACTAGTCGGCTAAATTACCGTGTGGAATTTAATAAAATAAATATCTATCTTATAATTTATATCTCCAACGTTCTGTTTGGTTCATAATAATAATTTTCACCCATGGAGTAAATAAATATAGCGAACATTTAGTTTAAACTACAATCGGCGACAAAACTACAGATGTAGTTCAGACACTAAGAGCCTCTCTGGCGTTTTTGACGTCACTTTCTATCCTGCAGTGACTAAATATAACACACTTTTAGTTCACAAATATTTTGTTACACTAGCTCCTTGTTAAAGTCGGCTGTTCTTGTCTAAATATTGTTATTTTAAGAAGTCACCTGAGGTCAGGGTTCGTACTCTTTTGAGTTCTTCAAATGCCATGACTTTCATGACTTTTTTTATGACCTTAGGTTTCGCCAGCTGTCATTACCAAAAATTTCCAAAACTTTACTGGCTTTAGCATATTTTTTGACCTTAAACAGTTCAACAGACACAAACTCTGGTATCCAGCAAAATTCGTGCCGTTCGTGCCGTATAATTACTCCTCTTCATCTTACGCTATCCCTGCTTTGTCATCTGCAGTAACTAATCTACCAGACAAAACTTTAATTTTCCATGACTGTCAAGGACCGACAGTTGAAATCCATGACTTTCCAGGACTTGAACATGAAATTCTTAGATTTCATCACTTTCCAGGATTTCCATGGCCTGTACGGACCCTGTGAGGTTACAAAAGGATTTCTCGATAAGCAGTTTGAAGGCCACTGAACTAAAAGTTCCTGTCGCCCAATGTAAGGGAATCCAAGACACGTTTGGATTCTGGATTGCAGATTCCTGGTACTCGATTCTGGATTCTTTCTCAGTGGGACTTGGATTCCGGATTTCAATCGTTAAAGGTATTCCGGATTCCTTGAGTTGTATTCCGGATTCCAAAGTCCAGGATTCCAGATTCCAGTGGCAAAAATTTCCCGGATTCCGGAATCTCAATTTCCTTACACGAGGAGATTCCTGGATTTTTAATATTTGTCGAATGATGTGAAGTTCAGTGCATTTTCACGTATTTCTCCTGACAAGTACTTATAAAAACATTCTTGCTACACTGTCCACAGCAGGTTCAGTTGTTCCGCCTTGACGCGCGGAAAACTGAGCAAAAATCCAAGCTTCGTGATAGACTAGGACTGCGAAGAGGGGAGATAAAGAGTGACAAACGGAGGCGGAGAAAATTTTCAGGAATCAGGACTCACATAATTGATGTTGTTTACAAGAACTCGAAGTGGGTGAAAGAGGCCATGACTTCCTGGCCTTGAAAACAAATTAGGGCCAAACAGTTGTAAGACGCGCGTGCCGAGCCATTTTACCCTAAGACATGATTGCGTTGCAGATGTCTTTGTGGGTGCAATAGACCTCTTCACACCAACACACTGAAGTTAGACCCCTGCCTTCGTTAGAATGGGTGGCATTTTCGAAGAAGAAACTTCCTGCAAGAAATGCACCTGATGTAACACGTTATCTGCAGAAGACCAATTCTGGCGTGCTCTTACAGCCGCCGAGAACTCTCTCGAACAGTCGAAAGAAAAAAGAGTTCAGATGATTTGAAGGGGAAAATTATTTAAATAAGTTCTTTTATTGTAACGACTACAATTATTTAACAATCATTTAATGAGGCTGAGTACCATCTGAAGAATTATGGAGATCGAGGAGGGTGTTTACGATTCAATAATCTGGCAATTTGCCGCACGATTGTCGTCATTTTTTACATAACGCAAAACTCTGCCAAATTTGGTCGACAGTAGCTGGTTATGATGAATTGTGCGTGGGATTTTATCCAATCAGAAACGGAGATATATTTTGAATGAATAATAATAGCAATTATTGAATGAGGCTGCGTATGATATGAATAATTATGCAGATACAGGAGAGTGTTATCCGCCAAAGCTGAAGGCTGATGCGGATAAGCCTCTTCGAGGGTGGTCTTTCTTCCAAAGATGCCAGAAATTTTCCGCTATTTTCTTTCAGAACTACTGAACTAACTTAAGCTCGAGCCCAGGGTTTCTCGGCTGCCGTGCCTTTTTCTGGCGATAGCCTTTACCACTGATGCCATTTAATCACGGAATTTTGCAAACGTCTTCTAAACTTAGTCGACGCCAGCTGGATATGAAGAATTAGCTAGGGGATTTCGGCCAATAAGAGGCGGAGAAATATATGAATTTTTTGAACACGAACCTGACAAAATCTGCAGCGATTTGACTTAAAAAGGGCCAAAGCTTGAAAATCACTCATGCGAAAGAAAAAGAAAGGAGAAAAAGAAAGAGCGAGGAGGAAGAAAGGAGGAGAAGAGAAAAAAGCAATTCCTGCACTCTTAGTTGTTATCATGGCTACTTTGGAGGTAACGTCTTAAAAAATCCGGCTAGATATATATAATAATATATCTAAAACTATAGAGAAACGAACAAATGTAAGTGTGTAACTTGTTTCAGTTCTATATCATGGAGCGTGGTCACGACATATGAAAACAAGTTTTGAATTAAACTCAAACACATTTCCATGACTCTAACAAAGCGCTGCCCGCTGGGTAATAGTGCATTTTTGAGTTCTAAAATACTCTAACTTTCAAAACGAGTGTAAAATTTTCTTGTGAAAATGAGTTTTATTTGCACGAGAATAAAAAATATATTTCACGATCAATGGCTTCGCACTTAGCCTCAGAGGCTTGGAGCAACGCAGAAATGGCCTTTTCTTACGCAAACGACGTGATTATAGTCACGCAAACAGCTTTGGTCTGGGCAGGGTGCAAAGAAAGTCAGTTTTACAGTCAGCCATTTGGGCAAGCTGTAGCTAGCATGTACCAGCCCACAAGTCATTTCAACTAGCGCCAAAACCCATTTTGATTTGCAGGATTGATTACAATCCTTCTGTAATTTGAATTT